CTGAAGTTGCTGCCAGGTGCCTCGGTCTCTGACTCAAAGGCAGTTTGGCGCAGCGACTGGAGGAGCTCCCGCTGTTCCTGGAGGGAGAGTGGAGATGCTGGTGAGGCCCACACAAGCAGGTTCTCCCAGGACAAACTGAAATTTTGAAATCAAATGTGCTGGGTTCACCCAAAGGTGAACCTTCACCTGTCTCTACTTGTACAGGTGGAAGAGACCAGGACCAGACTTGCAAGGAGAGCACTCTCAGACCTGTGAGTAGGGATCCATGGAGGTTCTCATGCGACGCTCACACAGGTTGAGGCTGACAGACTGCAGCACGTACAGATAATGGGCCATCTCATCCCCCAGCGGCTCGGAGCTGTGGATGATGTTCTACAGGAGACTGCGAGTGAGAAGGTTCCCCCAGGCTGCTGCTCCCAGTTCCTCCAAACCCAGGGCCCAATGGCAGCCAAAGCCCAACAGATCCTGCTGCTCAAAGAGGCATTAGGAAGCAGGCAGTTCCCCTCAGGGTTGGGCGAGAGCTGGGTGCACTGAACTGCAGGCAGCCAGGGGTGCAACCCTGGGCATGTGGGTGCCAGCGGGGCAGCACCCACAGGAGGCATCAAGGAAGGGATGCGGGGCACACAGGCAACCCAGCCAGGCACCGTCACCAAAGGCTGGGGCTGAGGGGACGGGGCTGGGGAGGAACGACAGAGGACGAAGCACAGAGCAGACCCTTGACGAACCCAGCTCCTCACCTTGTGGATAAACTGCCTGATGTTCTTCTCCCTCAGGTAGTCCATCATGTCCTAGGAAGGGAAGTGGTTGTGAGACATTCTCCAGCTCCACACACCACTCACCCAAAAAAGCCTGTGTTCCCTTTGCAGCCCGCCATCCCCGCTAAGCTTGGCTTGGGGCCACAGGCAGGGTGGGGACAGAAAGGAACGGGCAGTCTCAGGAGTGACACCAGTGAGCAGGAGACCTGCCCCCAGCTTCCACTGCCCTAGCCCACCCCGGGGGGGCTCAAACGGATCCTGCCCCACCAGGCTGCCAGGACAGGTTGTGTCAGTCAAGAAGAAGCAGAGTGAGGAGGCTGACTTTAAACATCTCCAGGCACCTCTCAGAGCCCCGGCATCCCAGAGAACACAAACACTGCAGTGGAGGACTCAGCTGCCCAAGATCCTGTCACGGGGGGCCCAGCCATGATGGCCCAGACGTGCCAGGTGCTGGGTCTGGGCCATCACGGTCACTGCGCCGCCACCAGCCATGGTACTTCTCCTGTCATTTGAGATCTTGCATCCCTCCCCAAAACTACTCCAAGGGGTGTGAGACAGCAGAGGCCTCTTGGCAGAGCACCCCAATGACAGGGGCACTGTGGTGCTTGGATCTGCAATGCCCACCACCCTGCCATCAGCCGGTCTTGCCTACTGCCCACAGGCAGAGAACAGCCCCTTACCCGCCGCTCAGCATCAGTCGCAGCCAGCAGCAGCGCAATGAGCAGGGCCATCGCCTTCAGCTGCAGCTGGGCATTTGTCCTGCAGAAGGAGGAGGAGGAGGATGGGGAGAGTCACCAGCTTTGAGGATGGTCTTGCCTTCCCCAAGGCAGAGTCTTCTCCCCACTTCACTGCTGGACCCCACTGCATGGAGCTGGAGGACCCAGAGAGGCCAGAGCCATGAGTGAGCAGCTGCTGACAGCAGGGCCAGGGGTGAGATGGTCCCCGCAGCTGTGACTGCAGGGCACCCATGGATGGATCAGATATTGCTCTGCACACACCCATGGGTGCAGCATTTTGGAGCTGCAGGAGAACCCAGGGTGAAGAGCAGACTCCTGTCTGGCAGGAGCCCTGGGCATGAGCCTCTCCATTTTCAAGAAAGAAAAACCTCCAAACTGAAGAGAGTGGTATGAGGAAGATGAGGGAACGAAGAACCCACCTTAGCTGAGGGATTTAACAAACTCCATTTGTTCATTACAGTACCACCACCCCAAGTTGTAAGGAACATACTATTGCTCCTAAATATACCGGGGAAAGGGAAGAGCCAACACCAGAAAAAAATCTGGTCAGCTAAAGAATCAAGATATTGGAATGAAACAGGCCATGAATGAACACATGAAGGACTCTGACCTGGAAACAGGATGGTTTCCAGGATAGTCCACCCCTCCCCCAGCATCAGGGACAGGACAGGCTGATCTCCCACAAGTTGTTTAGGAAGGCACAATACAATCTTGTGCCAGGGATAGTCAGCAAGACCCAGAGAAATCTCCCCCATTGCCTCATCCCCACCAGCCTTGGGATGCGGGCGAACGGTGCTCCGGCCTCTCAACTTACACCTGCAAGTGGGTGAGAAGACGATCCAGCGTCACTTCTTTTTTAACTAGCTCAAAGAGGAGGCGACTGGTAGGCACCATGTTCTCCAAGATAGACAAGGAGAGCTGCTGCACAGATGCATCCACTGCGTTCATATTGACATAACTCACTATCTATGAGACACAAAACCATCCGTCGACAGCAGGCTGAGCCTGGGTGACGAGGGCAACAAGGAATTCCAAGGGCACAGGCTGTGGAGACTGCAGAAGGTGCTTACCTTCTTGATGAAGGCTGCACTAAGAGTCTCCCAGGAAACAAAATCATGCTCCATCAGCTCCATGAAGGCCTTCAGGGTGTGAGCTAGCATCTCCCCTGTACTGGAGGGACAGATAAGCAAACGCAGTGAGAATGGCTCCAGATACCTCACAGTCACCACTGTAAGACAGGAGTACAGTTGCACATTGGTGGGTACCTTAGAAACAGCTAAAGAAGCAGAGAGCAGTGAGCCGAAGAAGAAAGGAAAAAGAGACTGTTGGGTAAGAAATCAGACCCTCACTTAGTCATCCCAGGAAGTTGAGGCAGGGAAGTTCAACAGTTTGTGGAAAGCTGCATTACCACGGTACAAAGATCACTGCAGACAAGCCCTCAGGAAAGCCAAGCCACCCCAAATCCCTCCCTCTACTTCCAAGAAACACACGCTGTGTGGTTTTAGGCTCCACATCCTCTGTGAGATAGGAGCTCAGAGGAGATGCATCACATCCTGAAAAAGTTGAGTAGGCACTAGTATTTGGCAACGGGGGTTTTCTGAGCTGCTTGCAGATCTCTCGCAACTAAAACCTCAGGGCAGAGGGAGTGTTTGGGGTGGCAGGAATGAGCAGCAGCGGAAGCTAGGCTCATCACAGGACGTTTCCTGGTAGCAAAACCCATGAGGCTGCAGGTGACCCAGCAGCGAAGGGATGGAAGGTTCAAGTCTGGGCACATTCATGAGGAATCAAGACCACAGACCCATGGGGACCTTCCCCTGGCTGCCAGTGTGGGGGGACACAGCCACATACCTGCAGGTAAGGCGCCTGCAGAGCCAAGTGCCCCGCCACCAGCACTGCCCTTCATGCCACAGCACTGGGACCAACAAGCCAGGAACATGAACAGAGTCCATGCCAACGCCCAGCTGAGAGCTCATGCAGCATTAGCAAGGGAGAAGAAAAGTCAAGAACTGCAAAGGAAGTCCTCTCCTGATACTCACTCATTCCCTTCTTCCACAATATAGAAGATTTGTTTCAAGCCATTCCGGTTGATGAACTCCTGAGCAAAGGTAACGTCTTGGGAGAGGCTTGCAAGCTTCTTCAGTGAGTCAGTCTTCACATCTGAGTTGTTGCTCTGGATCCCGCTGTACAACTGCTCTGCTTCTTGGTCCTACCAGGAAGGAAAGAATCAAGCCAAAGGGGCTCATCGAAAGACAGCGAGAAGCTTGGAGAAGGCTGGAAGAGCTTAAGCACAAGTTTTGGAAGGAGGCTCAGGCTAGAGCAGCCCCAGTGAGGAGCTGGACCGAGAGACAAAGCCACCAGAGCAGAGACCAGGAGGAGCTGAGGAAGGAGGTCAAGCTGGTGTGACACTAAGAACGCTTGATGAGTTGGCCCACGCGTCCAAAGCATCTCGAGATGACTTAGTTTCTCTTCAAACTCCCCCGAGCTCTGCCGAGGGAGAATGAAGGTTGAGACAGGTCTCCTCCCCGCGTTATTTCTGCTGGGTCTGAGGCACCGAGAGGAGCCGTCGTGAGCCAGAAGTCACGGAGCGAGGCGGCGGCAAAGGGCTCGGAGCACCGCATCGCCCCGTTGCAGGGGGACATCCCACCACAGCAAGCGGCGGAGAAGGAGACAGGGGGACGGAGGGATGTACCGGGGAGGTGGTCAGCCGTAAAATGCTCCCGTTCTTAATCTCCCCGCGGTTCTGCAAGGGGAAAGCGACCGGTGAGCCGGTGAGGGCCACACCGGCAGGTCCGGGGGGAGGTCGGGGGGCACCTCACCGACTCGGTGATGTAGGTCTGCCGCCCGTCCGCGTACTGCAGGGCGTAGCGCTCGGCGTTGGGCAGGCTCCACCTGCGGCAATGGGCGGCCGGTCGCAGCGCCGTACGGCTGGCGCCGGTGGCCGCCGGGCCAGGCAGCAGCCCGGTGGCGGGCCGTCAGGGCCCGGTGGCGGGCGGCGGGGGCGGTACTCACGCGTCGCAGACGTCCTTGAGCACCGAGGCGAGGGGCTTGGTCTGCAAGCGAGAGGGCGGCCGTGAGCTGGACCGCGGGGTCCGGGGAAGGTGTGGGGGGTGCCGGGCGGTACCTGCTGGAGCTCGATGAGCTGCGGGATGGCTCCCACCATCTGGATGGCGATCTTCACCACGTCCTTGGGCGGCGGCATGGCTCCCGCGGCGGCACCGTCACCGCTCGGCCCGGCTCCCCCCCCCCCCCCGCCCC